CAGTATTCAACTCCTGCGCTTCTGCAGTGATGGGCCCTTCAGGGGACTGAAACCCAGACAGTCTGTGTGCCAGAGCCATCAATCATTCAACCAATCAATCACTGAAAGCAGTCTACCGGGAACTTTGAGGGAAATTGAAGGCTTACTATGGATCAGAAGGACTGGAGGATGGGGGCACTGAAGACAACAGTTTGAAAGAGATTCAGCAGCTTTGCAAATGGCGCTTGGATTTCTGTCCAGGCATGGAGATCAGTGAAAACAAATAGCAAAACAAAATTGGAAAACGCTCTTAATTACTGCTTTAGGGCCCCTCTTCCTTGCAAATATCTGTGTGCTCTCTTCAATGGGCAATGGTATGATGGAAAGGTGTCTGAGTCATGCATTTTAAAAACCACAGGACACAGCTACAAGTGCCTTAGGGAAAAAAAGATGCTGTAGCACCCCTCACTTACAATTACAGTATCAAGACAGAAAGAGATTTGCATCAAGCCTATAGAAGTCCAGTCACAGAAAGCTGCATTCACACCATGCTTTATCCTGAGGATGAGCACAGCATCCCTGAACAGTGTTATTTATCGATGCCACACATTGACAATGACAGACTGAGACGAAGTAACGAGGACATAAAACTCAGCTGGCTGTGAACGGAGTGACCGAGGGAAGAGAAGGGTTTAACAAATGTCTTGTGAGACGCAGAAAATATTTTGAACTGTTAGTGTTTTGGAAATGTACACCACAGGTTCATGCTGTTCCATAAACGTGAGACAGCTGACTCCAGCAGTGTGTTGAAGAATACTCTGCCAAAGATCATTCCGTGTCTGGCGAGGTTCACAGGAAAACTAAAGAAACACCAATGTGTTAATTAAAAAAAAGTACCCGGAAAGCAGTGGTAAGCTAGCTTTGATCCTGTGTTAAAGCACCTCTGCTTTGTCAGACAAATAAATTAATCAACATATACATTTGTGTTAAAAATAAGCAAGTCTGTGATAGTACAATTTGGCACACTCTTCAACATTTGCAACATACAATGACTACCCCTCAGAAAAAAAACTGTTGTTTTCATTATGATCTACACACATTTTTAAACCCTTCTAAGGCCATTCTGTAAAGCAGCTATTCCTAACTAATAACTGTGTCATTATCTGAGATTGTTTTTCCTCCGGACGTTCTTAATGAGATGTCGGGAAAAGAGATTGCTTTGGATGATTATCAGATACTTAATTACCAGCAGGCCCACGTGTCTTTTTACACTGATGTGACAGGTGGCCCCCTCACCCCTCACCTCGCATGTGTAGCACTCAAAGCCCTCTCCCTTATCTCATCTGTGGCCTGGCTCTGCACCTTCCTCTGTGCATCTTGCGAAGAAGACTCCCGCTATCTGTAAGAGAACAGATGGATTCGCTGTCAAGAACTGATTTTGGGATAAACAGCACGTGTTTCCTTTCTCTGTAGTGCTTTTAGAGTGGGGATTCTAAGTCATGACAGGATAATAAAAATCAGAAGATAGAGTTAAGCTTTTGAAATAATTGCAGATGGCGATCTAGAACTTTTAACACACCAGAAAACATATTCAATCCCTCCCTTAGGCAGACAAACACTGCCCATTGTTTTATGTACCTCTAAAAAGAACATATTGTGGTTTAAATAAGAGCAGTTCCAATTTTTTTCTCAATGTGACATAAAAAATAATTTTAAAGAATTCTTTTCAGTCTTTTTAACTTTTAAACTAAAGGAATCTGTATGTTCTAAGAAACAATTTTTAAATGAACAAAAATGACACTTATTTACTGTATATTAGTTTCTAAATAATGAGCACATTCATGAATAAAATACCTTAACTTTTGATAATATTGCCAGAATGAATTAGTTTTACATGCCTTGTAAATGTCCAAAATGGGACCAACTATCATGCTGTAAATTCTGTACCCTACGGAGAGAAGTACAATGATTCAATAAAACGCTAATAAGATTAAATAAGATGATTGATTGCTCCAAAAGAACTGAAATGGGAACATTTTTAATAAGATGACTCTGTAGTTTGGCTTTCTTCATCTCTCCAGATTCAGCTCTTACACTTAACTCATGAAGCAAAAGTATTTACTTCTTGAAACCAACATTCATCCCTAAAATGATAGACCACAGAGAACCAAAACACAACATCTTCAGATAGCAACAGTCTTCAAAGTTATTAATGAAAATGGCAGATTGTAGCACTATATCTTGCATTTGCATGTAAAAGACAAATGTGTTACAGACTGAATTTGGGGGGTTTAAATGACATACTGTACAATTATTCAATTTGTATTTCTATCCAAAGTGACTCACAAAGACAACAAGCACTGATGCTTCTGAATGACAGATTTAAGTCACCTACTCAACACCACACAAGGATCACAAAAGGGTCTGTTTCTCTAACACATTACACATGGAAACACCAGACGTTTTACAGACCCCACCTTACATACAGTATAAAGAGTTATGGGCATTAATAATTTTGAATGATACTGAACAGGTTCATGAAATGATACTGAACGTTTTAACACCAGACCACAGGAACAGAGAAAAAAAAGTCCTTAGCAGATATGGAGGATAAGGTTATTAAGAAAAGGGCGTGTGTGTGTCCTTGGGAAGTGGTTTGAAAAGGGCTGTCGACAGCTAAGTGTTTGATTTATGAGGGTAAAGCCAGGAAAGACAGATCTCTGGGCAGAATTAGGCAAGAATTTCAAAATAAGAAGGGTTGGAGCAATTATCAGAGAATGATTCATTAACATGTCTTCAGCTATTATATTTGTGCAATGGAGAAAAAAAAAGTAAAAAATGACTTTGGAAAAAATAGAAAATGAAAGCACGGTCATAGCCTGTCTTTCATAAGCAAGGATTTTAATATGGTAAATTACCCTCTGCTACCAAAACTAGTGCCACACTTAATTAAAGTGTTTTCCACTATAATTGCCACAAATTAAAAAATAACTTCTAACTGTACACACTACACAGTTGGCTTTGGAAACGAAATTCTTGTTGGAATTAAATAATTGCAAGAAAGGAAAAGTAGCCTAAGCAATGCTTTGAGATAGAAATCTCCATCAGTAAAGTCAAGGTCACCTTTGTATGGTACTGTAGCTACACAATCAGATGGCATCAAGTCACAGGTGCAAAAGCTCACCCACTGTTTCAGCTTGAGGTCTTTGTAAACCAAAGGAGTGACAGGAACTTGGTGGTAATTGTGAGATCTGCTTCTTTAAATCCATCACCAACTGGACCTACGATAACATTTAGCAAAAACTGAAGGACACTTCTTGGAAGTGGTCAGCTCACCTCTTTGTTCAGCGTGTAATGTTTAATTTATTTGCCCTGAGAGAAGGCTGCAAGCCATGGATTTGTCTGCAATCACAAAATGAAAAGGAATAGACTCAAGTCATTGCTTAAAGTTATAATCTGCACGATTCTGTAAATCATATAAGCACAACTTCTTAAAAGAATTAAAGGCATGCCAGAGCTGATCCATACCAGCCACGTGACTGGCGATTGTGATTGTAAAATAAATGTTCACAAGTTTTTTTTTTCTAGAATTTTAGAATCCCCATTTACTAACCTGATATTCATGTGACACAAGTATTCCTGGGTCCAGCCCTTACTGGGGATCTAGTGGTGAACCTTCTCCAAAATACCAAGAGTCCCTGATCCACTGGAATGCGAAAAAGAGGTACTGTACAAAGGGGGTGCCCCACAAATGTCCTGTACCAGGGCCCATCTTTCTCTAGTTTTCTCCAGCTCAGGCAGGGGTTAGTGCTTCATGTGTCAATGCTTGAAACTACCCAGTCCCAGCAGTACTTGGGGGAAAAAGAGGCGAAAACACACCGCCCACATTGCAACCAGCTGTTTCTGAACCAACCCCCCCGGCGATCCTAGCATCCTCTCGAGAGGCAGAGCTTTCACAGGTTTAAGATCATTTCATCTTTGTTTTTACAACTTGTGTGCATTGCAAAATCTACAAATACAGTCAAGTAACTTTAACGCTCTTGCACAAAGATGTTTTATTAGAAATAGCCGAGGGGCCGAAGTCATGAAATCGTGTCAGCAAAAAATAAAAACGGAATTTAATTTGGTAATTTTATTTGAAACTTTCTGAAAACTGTCCTCCTACCATATTAAATACTGTACATTAAAATTTTATTTTGGAAAAAGAAATGTGACAACTATTCCAGATGTGAAGTTAGAACCACAAAAATACTTCTAAACTTTATATACTGTAGCACATTGTATTTTTCTCATGTGACTTCTCCCCCAGACTATTCAAGGCCTTAAACAGCAGATTCTATTGCTGCAGAGAATGAAACACAGGGGCCCTTTAGCCCGCCCTGGAAGAATTCACACATTTCTGTACTGGGGTCTGGGGCTGAACTGGGGACACTAACATATTTATTATTTATAAAGAAGAAATCCAAAAGAAAACAGGAATGTTCTGAGTTGGATGTAAGTGCCTTTAGAATCATTTAGATACAAACAACGCCATGAATTACATATCTAGTAAACTGAGAACACTGAAGCTGAAGGAGATGAGCTGATTTTAACCATGACTGCGTTCTATGACATGCAGTCAAAGGCTTCATTAAAGTTAATTCACCTCCCAGCTGCATAAGCCAATCATATAACATTACTTGACTGCCAGACTGGAAGTCAAGTGGTCTCTTCCAGAGCATGTTCACTTACTGTATCCTGAGGCATTGACTTTTTTTGGGAATGCCCAGAAGTAGTTGGGTTTTGGGAACAGGTATAGTCAACTTCAACCACTATTTTAAACAAGGATAATCAATACCCTGACCCATTATTTTGGATAATTGATCACTCTAATCTTGGCCACTCAAAGCATCAGAAACAGATCTGATTGGTCAGCCTCGCTTTTACACACAAAGGGTTGTGGGTGTCTGAAACAAGCTACCCAGCCCTGGTTTTGAAGCCAAAGGCCTAGATGAGATTAACTAATATACTAGCAAGGAAACAAGCTAAGATGGATGGAATGACCTTGTCTCACTTATAATCTTTATGTTCTCAAACTGCATTAAAAGGAAATGTCTTTAATTCCACACTCCTCCAGAAACAAAAAACAGTACCACATAAAAATGAACTAACATCATGGCCAAGGAAGTACAAAGGTTCTCTTCAAATGACAAATTATTATTTCCCCTCTTTGTGTTCACGCACGACTGAGAATGGAAAATATTTTGCAAAGGTAATGTTCAAAGTTTAAAAGTGAATTATTAAAATATCTCAGCAAGAGTCATCAGATTGAAAAGATCTCTCCATCAGACACAGTCAGTAGGCTGAAACGTCTTTTTTGCATGCAGAAATGTAATTTAAGAATGATCAAAGTCACATTTGTGTGACTCGCGCAGCAGAGGGAATGCTGAGCATTGCTATCTGTTAAAATCATTGTTTACCAGGCTCGGATTCTTCAATGCATGAAAAGATGCACTACTTCACATTCGCACATGTCCAGAGAGAGGGTATACTGTGTCCTATTTAGCCACAACTCTTTAAATATTGATTCACCAGTTATATAATTCTACTTTTAGTCTGTTGTCTGATTCTTGGGGTTGGACATTCTGACTTAATAGGGGCTGCATTCTGCTCTCAAGCTGTCATGTTGTGACATCATTTCAGCAGACCGACACAGGCAAGCCTCCCAGCTGAAAAAAAAAAAAACGACATGAGAAAACAGAAGTCATACCTGGTCCAAACAAAGGCTGTCAAAGAGGCTCAATGTCACCAGTGCTCACTGACCCCATCATTGCATGATTCAGATTTCCGGGGTGGGCTTGCAAACAGAAACTGCTTAATTTGTGAATGAATCATCTCTCTGAACAGGTCTAAGCTCAGCTTGTGCAATTTTACTTTGTTTCACAGCTATTCCTGCTGGGAAATGATTCAAATCATGTGCAAGGTTTATTAGTTGTAGAAGCATTCACAGAACCAATTATTAAATAATTAAGATTTGGGGAGGGGGGGGCAGTGTTTATTAAAAAGAACAGAACCAATTAATCACGCAGTCCCAAGCGAAACCACATTTGTATCAGAAAACACATTATGAACCACGAAAAAAGTCCATTGCTACAGCGTTTTAAGACTTCCGAATCAAATAAAACACAAATATACATATTCCTCGGATGAATTGAATGGGAGAGAAAAGAACGACAGACCATAACTGTTTATAATGAAAAGGCCTTATCTTTAATTGAATATTCAGAACCTTTAGAGGATGCATTATTTTTTTTAATATGCCCGTGCAATGTGCAGGGATTACATTTCGAAATTGACCTGCCAATGATGCAAATGACAATCATTTGTTTACAATATCTGTTAAGTGCGCTTTACTTCAGCAGGGAGAAGGGGATCCTACTGATAAGAATGACTGCAGCTGGTTTCTAAAGCATTTCTAATGGGGAGAATTCTTTTGAAGGTGGTTCCCTGAATAGAAACTCCATGGCTCCAGTACATATAATGGAGAAACTAAACAGCAGTTCAGCCCAGGGGGTCCCCGTTTCAATTAGAACTGCCAGTCTGACATGACATACTGTACAGTAAAAGCAAAGTTACAAACATATTGATTAGAATGCCAATAATAATAAAAGTTATACTGTGAGCACTATCATTTTGTTTCCCAAATAACCCAAGGTGGGACAGCACAGTGGCACAGTGGTTAGCAGTGCCTCACAGTGGGGCCCTGGGTTCAATTCTGGACCAGGAGTGCTATCTGCTTAGAGTTTGTAGGTGCTCCCTGTATTTGCATGGGTTTCCTCCTGGTGTTCCAGTTTCCTCCCACAGTCCAAAGAGGTACTAGTAAATTAATTGCCTTCTGAGAATTTTACTTTGTTAAATCCTGGGAACTTTCCTTTGCCTGTGTGTGTGTGTGTGTGTGTGTGTGTGTGTGTGTGTGTGTGTGTGTGTGTGTGTGTGTGTGCGCGCACTGTGATGGACTGACGTCCCAACCCTACTTTGAGCCAACTGCTTGCCTAGTTGTTAGAAAATGGATGGAGGGGTAAGTGAATGGATAAATGGTACTGCATTTCCATTGAGGAGTGCAACACTGACTGCTGTCAGCCAGATGATTTTACACACAAGGACCTGTTTGCTATCTGTGAAGACGGTGGAGGACAGCTGTTTGGGGTGGTTCAGCAGCTGGTTTAACATGCTGGGATTAGCTGGGTGCTATTGGTGGTGTTGGAAGGGAGTCCCCATTACCTATAAAGTGCTTTGAGTGGAGAGTCCAGAAAAGCACTATATAAGTGTAAGGAATTAATAATAATATTTTGATTTCCACTACATGTTCAGGGTTTTCCTATATGGCTGATCACTTTCTCCTGATTTCCAACACCTCATGACATAGGGCACCAGTTCTCTCTCACACCTTACTCTACAGTATATCATTCCAAAGCCAAAAAAAAAAAAACATTTCAAATGAACAAACTCATCACCATAAAAGAGAGAAACACGCATGAGCTAAATCCCAGCATTTAGATATATAGCACATCTGGAAATTGAACTTGGAATAAGCCTCTTAAACCTACATCCCACAGTGGCTTTGTGCTGATCAGGTGCGAAATTAAGGAGTACACTTTGCTGAACTAGAAATCTGCTTCAAGGTAGCACACGGTCCATTAATCCTCTTCAACACTAGGGGGATTTATGCAAAGTGTGGTATGCCTTACCTAATGATCAAGTGTTGGGACAGTGCAAACTCTGTAACAGTTGTAAAAAAATAACAAGTCAGGATAGTGAGGAAGGGCTTGTTCCGTGGGTAACTTGTATATACTCTTCTTCTGAAAGGCATCAGTTACATGGCACATCAGAATGGATGGCTGATATTTTCTGAATGCAGAAAGGGTTGTTTTTAATGCAAAACAGAGAAGACAACAGTAATAATAAGATGGAATCAGACATTCCTCTGCAATTGATTCTCCTTCTTTTATGATCTAGGCAGAGCTTGATGGCTTTAGTGTACATCTAGAAAAAAGAAAAGTGAAAGCCCTAAAATTGGATTAAAGTTTTAAATACCCTGCTCTGACTCTGTTTAATGGAATTAGAGTGAAATGCTGAGATTAAAATGAATTTCAGGTTGTAGTCTGACAATTATGTTAGAGGGGGTTACCATCCCAAGCTGGCTTTATTGACCTCAGCTGGAAGTTAATCAGCTCACAAGGATTAGCATAACGTCTCTCCTCTGAAAGTCAATCTCTTGATGTCAGTTTGGTCATATGGCCCACAGTGTAATACATTACGCTCTCTTTAAAAGTGTGTCCATTTTTCGTGTGTAATAATTGCACAAATAGATTTCATAGAAAAGACTTGCTTTAACAGCTATTTAAACCTTTTCCCTGAATCATAACCTATTTTTTATTGTTATTACTTGTCTTTGTGAAGACATCCTGCATTCATCAATCTAATAACTAATTACAAAGGCAATACAACAGTTATAGGTTCAACAAATGACAATAACAGTGCTATGTGGGATGACTGATGGCGAAGAACAGTTGCATTAATAGAATTCTGAAGATACTACTATTACCTCTGTAGTAGTACTATGCCATACACCTCCAAAAGCTTTTAAATCGGCATACTGTTTTACAAATACTTAATTTTACACCTGTTTTACTATGACTTCTAGCTGATATTACAGTAGTTACAGTGGTATTACATTGGCTGGCATTATAATGTTCATACTTGCAATTGCAATTAGATTAGTGCAAATATACTTTCTAAGCCCACAGCTCTTCCTCTGAGGCTCAGCTTCAACCTTGTTTTTTAAACACATGTACTAATAAATTTGTAGTCTGGCAAGATGGACTCTAATGAACACTAAATTTAAAGTTTGCTAATGTGATTTAAGTACAGTAAAGGGCAGCAATTTCTCTGCAAATTGCAGCAGAGATATACAACCAGCTTCGAATATAAATGCCGTAAATGGTTCTCTGTGGAAACCCAGGAGCGTGCAGTTCTGTTAGCAGGAGAGCACCTCAATGATTGAACACCATATAATCTTTTCATTATTTCCAATTTTACAGTTAATTCAACTTCCACATCTGTTTCCCGACAGTGGCCACAAATGAGATGAATAAGGGACATGCATATGACTGTTGCCTCTCGCATCGGCCCCAGTAATCCAGAAATGACAGACTTAAGACTATGCCATTAGCTGACTGGGACTGGAAAAAATAATGGTTCCCAAAACATCATGGAGTCACCTTCTGTGTAGGAATGAAGCAGGGGTGGATGTCAGGGGGGATCAGTGCTTTGAGTTCAATGCCAGGCTTGAGAGAGAGCTTCCAACATTACCTGTGAGAGCAGCAGCTGTCCTCCATCGCCTGCTTTCTGAACTGTAGGTTGGCAGTGAGCAGGACAACCACTGGCTCTGACAGGCCTTCCTTCCGAGAAGTGGGCATTGTATGCTCTTCTCTATGTGGACTGGCATCAGGGCTGAAGCAGAGCTTACTGGAACTTCAAGTGGAAGGAGCTAGAAGAGGAAAAACAATAATAACCCGACATTAAAAGAAAGAAAAATAATCATTTTCAAAGTCAATGTATTTACCGCTGAAACTGAACAATGACAGCGATAACTACATGGCCTTTGTGTTATAAAATGAGATTTGTGAAGTTTTAACCTAATACACTCATATTTTCTAACATTGAAAAGGCAGATCCAAAGCAAGAATGAAGAGATCTGAATAGGTGAGATGACCTTGTTTGCATCTTATATGAAAGATGCCTTTCCAAGGCAGTTATTTCATCTATAGCTGGATGCAGAACCTAGATGCAAGGTGACAGAACCAATTAGCCTTCAGTTCTATAATGCATTATCTGGTCCTTATGGATTCTATGCACAGAGAAACAGTAAGGTATAGAAATACCACTGATGAATTAGAAATGCTAGTTGGTAGAAGAATAGCAGTCAGTTCTATTTTGCAGTTAGATTACTGGAAACACAAAAGCATTTAAAAAAACATGTTTTCTTTTTCCATTGGCAATGGATGAAATAAAGGAGGAGTGCTGAAGAAAGCAAGCCAAGAAAGAAGAAGAATGTATTTCTTGCGTATTCTCATTAACCACATGGCTCTCGAGAGCAGGGGGTGTAGCATCAAGAGAAGATTAAGATGAAGATAAAGGACGAAACACTATCACAAGCCACCCTTACAGCTAGATGTCAGAATGATGCTGTTAAAAAAATTCAGAGCATAAGAACAGTCACAAATGAGAGACGTCTGCCCATCTTGCACCTGTGTTAGGGTTAAGCACCTTTGAACAACATTTTTTGTTTTTGCACTAAGACTGTATAGCTTCACCACCCTCAGAACAGGCTGAAAAGTGTATGTAATGGGATTCTGTCTAAAAAGGCTTTCATATCTTTCACCCAATGGGTTTTCCTTTCTAGAACTCTAATGTGTTGACTGCTCTCCATAATTCCTGTCTGATATTGCTTACAGCATCCTGAACATGTCCCTTGGTGCTAGTTGGATGATACAGGGTTTCACCTGGAGCTGAAAACAGACTGAATGTCATGATGTTAAATACTGTAGTTCCCAGGCCAAACCTGTAGTAATGTAGCGAGTGTGGTTGTGTGCCATTAATTCTATCTTATTGATCCCCTAAACCATATATAGTCAATGTAATCATTTCCTTTCCTTCATATCTTTAGCTTAAGAACAAACATACATATACACAATGACAATTTTGGAACTGAATAAAAGTGCAAAAGAATGATCACATCAATGACAAGAATCAATATAAAGTTGCTGCAACTGTATTCCAAAGTCCTTTCTATAATAGAAACAACTTCTAAAGAAATCCTATCAATTACATGTACAGTATACTCTAAAAAGCACACACCATATACCCTTATCCTCAAAACATTAATAATGCATGACCAGCCCAGATTGCAAGAACATAGCCTTTTCCTCAGTCCCTTCAGCATTAATGAAAGGACTGGAGATTATTATAAAAGATCAGAAAGAGTGTTATCTTCCTTAACAAGGCTCTTTCGGAAATCTTTGAACACTATGAGGGTGTTAATTTCTAGCCCCGTGCTAATGTACTGACAGTGCAATAAAGCAACAAGATCTGCTGTGCCTAAAGAGTTTTCTGGTTGAATATTTCCATAACGCACTCAACAGTCTGGCATGTACAACAACAGCAGTGCAAGGTTTTGCAATGTCTTTCCTTTCTATGAAGCGAAATACACACTAACATTTGTGACAAAACAGTTTCAAAACAGGCATTCAATAATGTTAATAAACATCACTTTCTGAATCGGAAAACCACAACAAGCTTTTAACTTGTGTAAAATTTTAATACAAATGGCCCCACGCTAAGGATAATTAAAAAAAATAGCAATTAAAAGATGAGGAGAAGGGGTTTAATTATCCTTATGTACTGTAAAGAACTAAATTATTCATGTACATCTGCAGCTTGCAAACCTAGGTATAGGTCTCATGTAAAAGTAAAACAAAAAAAGTGCAAATGTTTATTTGTCTGCATTCATGCTGTGTAATTGAAATAAAAGGGTATAAATTATGCAGGGTGCTTTGTAATTTAGATGACTTTAAAGATGATTAAGCCCATCTGCAGTTGAATGTAAGAGAATGTAACATGGCATATCACGTCAGAATCCCCAAAAGAGAAACAGATACTATTGTCTCTGCTCCAGAAATTGGAGAATTTTCACAGATTACATTTTTGCAAATTAGTTTTAATAAGTATTCGAAGAATGGGTGAACAAAGCATGGCAGAAAATTTGGGTGGAAAAAAATAATTCTAATTGAAAATCAAACAAACACTTGAAAGAACTAGTTTTCTTTCTGTTGCTCATTGTAAATTTGTTCACAAATGAGCAATTAAGCTGTCTTTGGCATTCAATGTATTTTAACAAACTCATCTTAAGCAAGGTCAGACGCACTTTCTGTGGATCGTCTTGTATAATAGGCATTTAAAATCGGAAAAACTGATCTTTCCCATTAACTAGCCACTCTATGACTTCATAACTCACTGAGTAACGATATAACACAGCAAAGCCTAAATTGTAGTAGTTCAGGTGGGGAGCTGCGTCAGCATGCGTAGGCTGCAAAGGAACAAGTAATACTGTAGGTTTATTCCATGCTGAAAAGAGAAGAAAGAAAACACAACGTTTCGGCTGTGGAGTCTTCACACCTGAAGAAGGCTCCAAGGCCGAAATGTGGAGAGAGAGCAAAACTGTCCATTCCAAATAACGTGATGTGGGCAGAAGAATGCATTTGCAAGCACAAACCAGCCATCATTTCACAGTTATCTGTGGCTATTTCTGCATCAGGCCATTCAGAGAAGACTTCTACCTGTACCGTCCATCCAGTTACTCACATTTCACATCCCGAGTTCTGTTTCATCTCTTGTTTTTTACGAATTGCACTGTGATAAAATTAAAACTTTTCTAAAATAACCAATCTTTTTCTGTGATTCAAGTACCTTTTCTGCTCATGTGTTAATTCTCAGTATGAAAAAACTGCAATGAATTCTGAGCAATCTTTTACATAAAAATTAAATTATGATAAAAAATATTCCTGCCACATTTCTAAATGCCTTGAATGTCCAAATTATTAAAGTCTTTTTAACTGGAATTTTAAGTTTTCCACTGTTGTACACTTGCATAGAGAATTACACTCCTTTTTCTTAAATTGCCCCTACCCTGAAGCTTGATACTTACAGCTATTTGTAAAGGACATTTAATTTGCTCATTGCAACTCATCCGTAAATTTCTATTCCCTTCCCCCTATTTGCCAGGCATATATTTAAAGTTTTGTTGTCTCCAAAGCAAGATTTGCTCCTGGCCTTTGGGAGTTGTTTTACAAATTCTTAGGTTATTAAAACTGACGCAACGTCCATCTTGGAAAAGCTAAAGATGTTATTTTCGCCCCAGTCCCAGTTTTGACATTTCAGCAGGATGTAGTGTAGAGAAGGAAACAAGTCGTCCTGCGTCTCTTTTAAAAATAAACATCCTTTCAAGTCCACAAAGGTGGACATTTTTCAGTTCCTTTCTGGAATTTCTGGTGCTTTCATGGCTTTTAGTCTATGTTCTAAAGCTGGAATGTGCATTGGTGTAGTGCCAACAGATGAAGCCAAGTGCACTGAATTTTACTCCTCCGAGTCAGTCAGGGCAGATATTGAGACGTGTCTCTCACTCACAAAAAAATGGCTCAGTAAAAACGACACTTTCATCTGATTACCGCTTGCCCCCAAAGTATCAGTCGTGTGGTGCTGTTAACAAACCACACAAAATGCAAATGCTAATTGATTACCACAGCTTCTTTTTATATCTGCGGATTCTGTTGTTTATAGCAGCAATTATACACTCTAACAGGATGCATTACCCCTTTAATAATTGACCAAGGTTGCCTGTTCTTCTAAGAGCTTGGAGCTACCGTATGCTTAAAAAATGTCCAGAGTGAATTACATGCCAGGGATTGCTTGGATATTTCTGCTAAATAAGCTTTCATGGAGATTCCACAGGGGCAATGCAGCTCATCAGGCCTCTAAATACCCTACTGGAAGAGAACACTGAATCCCCAAACTCTGCAGTTTTAAGGAGGTATGCATTTTAGTTTTTTTAATTTGAGGGGCAAACACTTGTCTGCCCTGGGTAGGGAAAACATGACTCCCCCTGCACAAAAAAGGTGTGTCCATCTTAATGGCTGTATCAGTTCCCCACTGAAATGATGTGCTCAATTAGAAGTTGCATAGCAACATTTTGCAGTTTACTGTGTGTAAACGCATGTGCATAAGGTAATTCAACAGCAGATGTGCTGCAGGATTTGACAGCAAAGGAATTAGCTTATTTGGGTTCTCTCTCATAATGAAAACACTCATAACCTCAGGAGAGACATTTGTCTGAGAAACTGCTGAAATTACTGATTATGCACCTCAGCTGCTAAGGTTCATGTTTAAGTTTAGCAAGCTGATCATGACTACCATTCTTAATTACTGGCAAAATCTTTTGTTGGACACCTGACTGCACCTTCTACTGTACTTAAATGAGATTTTGGTTTCACGAGATTTAAAGGCTTTTAAACATTTAGCTTAGCTTTATGTTCACTGCAATAACACAGCAAAAGGTTCAAATCACTATTGACTGTGAGGCCTGCACATAAAATCAATTTATATTTTTCATGTGCTATATGTATAGAACCAAGAAAAAATACATTTAGATGCTTGGATGCATAGAAAATAATCTGGAATAAAAGTCAAGAGAAGCTAAAGTATGCTGAAGTTGCAGAACATACTTGTCAAACCCCATCTGGGATAATGCTAACTTTTCTGCTCTGCACATTGTAAAAATGAAAAAAAAAGAAGCCTTTGAGAATATCCAAAGAACAGCAACGCAACTCACTTCAGCACTTAAGGGGGTGAGCAATGAGGACAGAAGGAAGGCAACCCACATTATAAGACTCATAAAAAGAGAGATCTCATTGAGTTTTTTTTATGTTAGGGGGG